TGACACAGGCGGCTGAGTTCTGAACCATCTATAGTTTATGAAGGGATTTATTGGGGAGGCCAAACAGTAGGGAGTTGCAGTAGTCGATCCTGGATGTTACTAGGCTGTGTACAAGGATGGCAGTGGAGCAGGGAGTGAGTGAAGGACGGAGATGGTTAATGTTGCGGAGATGAAAATATGCAGATCAAGTCACATTGTTAATGTGGGATGTGAAAGAAAGTCTGGTGTCAAGGATGACTCCTAGGTTCTTGAGCTGAGGYGAKGGGGAAAGAACGGAGTTGTTAAGAGTGAAGAGAAGATGTTGGGATTTGGAAATGGTGTTTTTTGTCCCAACAAGGAGTAGTTCAGTTTTGTTATTATTTAGTTGGGGGAAATTATTGGAGAACCAGTTATTGAGCTCACTGAGGCAGTCGGTAAGAGTGGAGGATGATAAGGTGGAGTTCGGTTTTGTTGAAATGTAGAGTTGAGTGTCGTCGGCATAAGAGTGGAAATGKATACCAAATTTACGGAAGATGTGGCCAAGCGGGAGCAGATACAGTAGATTACGAAAAGTAGAGGCCCGAGTACAGAACCTTGGGGAACACYGGTGGAGATGGGTGAAGACTGGGAGCGGAAGGACTTAAGCTGTATRAACTGAGTGCGGTCTGAAAGATAGGATTTAAATAGAGTCAAGTAGTAACCCAATGTTGAGTGAAWCATGTCCAAAGTTTACTTGTAAGCCACTCTTTTTTTTATTAGCCATGTGTCATTATGGACAGCCTGCAATCACAGAGTAAACACCCAGCTTCAAAGATGCAATCTAATTATTAAACTTTCTTTAATACAACACCCTAACTCCTTGATGGATAAAACAATATCATTCTAAGGTTTTTTTCTTCATAGGACAAATACATAATACTGGCATTGACCCCTTTCATTTTTACTTTCTAAAGATCTTCAGGTCARTCCAGGACTCTTTAAAATACAAAGGATTCACTCAGAATGATCAACAARACCAAAATCAAGGTGGGTGTTATTAGAACTGTAAGATTTATTGTATGATCTCTGTGTTAGTGTTTTATAAAGTCCTGCTTTATTTTAGTCATAACTGCGAGCACATTTTTTTAAATCGTTGTCCATTATGTCGACTAATTGTCACAACCCTAATAGAAAGCAAACAGTAAACAATGAAGTTACTTTTTTTCCCTTCTGCAGAGTCCACCACAAGGAGGATTGTCCTACTTGGAAAAACTGGATCTGGGAAAAGTCACCTGGGTAACACCATATTAGGAGAGGAACTTTTCCTTTCGTATCTTTCCTCTACCTCTGGAACCCAAA